GAGAAAGATGGCTTTGGTGGGAAGGTACCATTACTTCCAGTTCTCAAAGACTTCCTGGGCTGCCTGAAGCAGATTACTCAAGTCACTTTACAAATGAGCAGGGTGAGATGCATGAAACGAGGATGTGTACAGCATCGCCAAGGAAGTTAAAGGTTTGACCTTTTTAATCTCCAAGAGGTGTTCAAATACTGTACTTACAGGCAACCGTTATAATGAATCATGAAATAATGAATAATGAATCATGAAAGCAGTACATTGTAAGATTCAGCCTTGCATTTGAAAGCAAAGAGCTTATACGGTACTACAGAAATAAGCTAACTTTTTTTTCCCTGATAAAATAGAGGAAGAAAAAAAAAAACCAGTATGCACACTTTGCAGACAAACATGTTTTAATAGTTCATGATTTTTCTTTATTATTTAAAAAAATACTTCAATGGTATAAAAATTGGAAATGTATCCATCTCAGAAGTGGAAAGTTGTTCTATTCCTCCTCGCTATTAAGCGGCACAAAAACAAACCAACAAAAACCCAGGAAATTGAAAGATATTCATTTATTTTTAGCCAAGTCTTTGTCAAACTGTTCCTTTCCACAATTAACCGACAGCGTGCAACTGTCTGTACCTAACTTTTTTTTTTTCCCCTGATTCTTATATGGTGATTTTCAACATTAAATTTTACCTTAAACAACAAAAATCCCCAAATGACATGAATACAATACCCTAAAAAAACGTTATTTAGGAAAAACAAAAAACTACTTCACATACATACACGTAATATCTAAAAGCAAGATTTTAGAGCTGTAATTATGTTTACACAAACCCACACCTCAAAGTACAAGAAGTTCAATTTAAGGATGCAAAATCCCTTAAGAATGATCTCTAGTGACCTACGTACCCTACCTGCCCTTTTTTTTTTTTTTTTTTATTATAAATATAATATAGTATTATATAAATATAATATAATGCACTACTAATGAACATAATAATCAATACGAATGAAAATACGTAATCACTTGTTGCATAACACAAGATCTGGAGCAACGGCAAAAAAAAATAAAGTGAGGCAGCTTACTTTACTGTAAAGTTGTATTTTTTGCCAAGTATAATTCATCTGAACGACAACTGTTTTTAATACAGCAATAACACAAAGTTACAAACTTCTAGGAATAAAAAAGAATCACGAGAGTTACACTTAGGGGACTGCATTCTGGAAGCTAACAATCTTTAAAAACGACTGAGGGTCATGGCAGGCAGCATCTAGACAGTGAACTTCCTGCACGATTCTGCAGCTAAGCGAGGAAATGTAGCCTCTGGATGGATAAGAACATAAGTTTGTATAAGACGTGGGGCAGGGGGGAGAGTATTAGCTACAAACAGTAACAGCAAGACCATTATTGGAAAATGACATCTATCTCTGATCTGTTCACTTCAGAAGAGAAAACACAAAAACAGCTAAAATTTCAGAAAATACATCTTACTTCTGCAAGTTAAAAAGTCAGCCTATTTGGCTGATCAAAGGGAATAACGGTTATCAGTGATTCACAAAATGGCTAAACGTCACTACAAAGCCTTACTTGGAAGATAAGAAAAACTTAAGTCAAAACTATGCCCAAAAAAAGATGCTACTGGGCAGAAGAAAACCTTTTGAAGAGTTCAGAATAAATCTCCTTTGTCAGACTGTGCATAATTGCACTTGATTGACAAGATACGTAGTATGCTCAGAAACTGACTGACAGCAAGTTTGCAAAATGAAGTATCCACAAGAAACTCTTTCCATCTTGATTAAATATCTATCCAGCCCCTCAATTATTCACATCTTCACCCCTTTGCAGCTGTGCAGTACATTTGGAAATACGGACTTCTGCATTTCGGTCACCCCAACCAGTATAACTCTTGGAGCCTATCTCTTCAGAAGCAAAGGCTGCTCCCCACAGCGCTCTGCCACTCTTGACTAAACACTCTATTGCTACCGTCATAAGCAAAATATAAGAAATTCTATAGCACAAAATTGCACTGGCTAAAATTCTTCTGGAAGGAAACACATGCAACTTACCACTGGAACAAATTGCATTCTATGTCAGTAAGAGTCAAAAGTGGGCATCTGTGTAAAGTAACAACAGAAGCTAAGGATGTACTGTAGAAATTCCCAAGTGAGAGTTTATGCTGCACTAACAAGATAGGTTGAGCAGATAACAGAGGATCCTTCTTCTGGAGGCAGATGTCTATGAATGTATTTCAGAGAGTGTTTTCTCTAAAATTGAAGCCCACTCCTTGGGGCTTAGGAAGTCCAAAAATCATGAATAACCTCCGCAATTTCACAGCACATTGACCGAGTATCAAGATGACAACCAGACAGTAAATAAAAGTCATAGTTAGCTTTGCCTCTCCAACTGCGGGCACGTTACCTCTCTCAGTGAGAACGCGACAGCTGCCTACCCTGTGCAGCTCCACGGCCCAAATCTGTGGCATGGGGAGAGCCCTCAACTCCTTAAAGCATCAGACCTTTAACCAAGAGCAGAATATTACCACATGCAATGCTGGGTCGATCATGTTTTGTGTGAGACTAAGAGAAAAAAAAAAAAAAAAGCTTCTGTTTTTATCAGAGCATACATAGCTCATTTGGGTATCTGAACTAGTATTTTCCTTTAACTTAAATATCTAGCTTTTTTTAAAGTTGAGTTTAATCTTAAACGTGAATTTCGTAATTTTTTATTCATTGGGTTCCCACCCCTTCAACCTCTGCATTATTTTTAGAAAGCTCTTCTGTTTATTTGTTGCTGGGTTTTTTTAAACCTTTCAGTTACTGGCACGTTTAATCAATCTCAGCCTCAAAACAGAAGCCATAGCTTGGAACCTGCTTTTTTAAGGACAGCCTCAATGTGGAATGAGTATTTTAAAAAGGCAGAACATATCCCCCATCTCTCTACACCATCATGAAAAACTTAGCTTCACAACTAGGATCTCACCTTCAACTTCAAACAAAATTTCCCTTTCAACTCCTCGTCACTCCTTCCTTAGTTTATTTAGGATGGGGTTGATATGAAGAGTAAAGAAGAGTTGTCTAGAGGAACGAGAAGGGGAGGGGAAGAAAACACTATCCAAATGGTCGGCATTGGTGGTTAGCACTTTGGTATTGAGAGTCAATCTGATTTGTTTCAAAAATTAATAAGGTAAAAAAGAACAGTCCCCAAAACCTTTTTTGTTTTAGGACCTAGGGCTTCTTAACAAAAGTTTAGATAGGCCTCTCTATACTAATGGTAACAACACACAGCAGAATCTTGACATTTGAAGCACTTTGCACAATAATTAATCATTTTAACGGTGAGTTACAAAGAAAGGAGTATTATCCCCTTTTTACTGACAGAGGAGCTGACTCAAAGAGGACTAAGGGAGTTGCCCAAAACCACGGGCTAGTCATTAGCAGAGCTGCAGTTAGAAGGCAGAAGTTCCTGGCTTCCAACTCTGTTTTCAAGCCATTGAAATTCTCTGCCTCTCTATAGGCTCAGAGCTGACACACCACAGACTTGCCAGGTTAGGAGGGCCACCTGCTTCTCCTGGCTGGCCTCGCTGCCTGAGACCACCACTCCCCTGCTCCCCAGAACGACCCGCAGCTGCTTCTACCTCCAACCACACCAGCAACATGGGAGGGAAAAGATAAATACATTTAAACCCCCCAAAACCGCAAGTTTTTGGTTTTTTAAACACAAACTTTGAACACTTGCATTATAGAGCCACCGCGCGCGCTATCAGAGCAACAGATGTGAACCACTGGTCACCGCAGGGCAGTGGGCTCTGCGAGAGGCGGGTGGCAGCAAGACTCACGCTGCCCCGGCAGACGGGCAGTGCCTGCTGGCTGCTCCGGCTGGAGCCGACCGCGGAAGGGGCAGCCGTACCCCCAGGCCTGCCTCCCAGCTCCCTCTATGCCTGCCAGCCCGTCTGAGCCCAGGGAGCTCAGTCCAGGAAACTAACCCTGAGGAAAAGGAAAAACTAGGAGTTTTGTCCATGTTAGCACACTGCACAGGCTCACTGAAAGGCCAGAAAAGCAGCAGAGCTGGTATTGGGGTGGGGTGGAAGCTGGACGATGTGATCCTGGAGACTGCACGCTAAACCGCACCCTACCTTGTTTGTGCTTTAGGTAATCAGAGGGGAACTTCACATCAGTTCACTTTGTAAGCAAAAGCTGAAAATGGCTTTTTCCATTTTAGCCCCATAGCTTTACTGTGTGTTTTACAGCACTGATTTCAGTTTCTCTTAATTGCTCGGTCAAGAGTGCAAACAAAGTTACTTATATCTTACACAACCAAGCAGTTCACAGTATGGCTGTACCGGATAATCCACAGTGAAAGTTGGCCTTTTTTGTAAAAATAGATTGAGAAGTAATACACAGGTTAATTTCCCATTCTGGTTTTTATAGAAAAAGGACAATGCTTAAAACATCAATCTTGGGAAACCTAGTGTGACAAAGACGGGAAGGGGGAAGTGAGCATTCCATTTTTACATTAAAAGCAGAACCACAGAAATTCTGTTCTCATAACCTGATTAGTCTTAATTATAAACTTAACCTAGGCTTCTGTTACATTGGTTCAATGTATTCCCCTACTTTCTACGTTCTGCCTAATATTAAGCTACTTGGAGTTCTTTGAACACTCCTTCTAACTCACTTGATCCTCTGAGGCTGACAGTTATCTACACGTTTATGCACTGAAGTAATTTATTCTTTCAGAAATGTTAAGCATTTACAACTTGCAACATCAGAATGTGCAAATATTCACATTTTCTGGAGGAAAAAAAAGGATAAAACATTTACCCTGATATCTACATTTATGAAGACCTTTTTGCCATCCGCCTTCCCCCCCCCCCCCCCCCCCACCAAGCTTTGTTATCTAGAGGCTTCTCCCTATGCATGAATGACTCCCCGTTTCTCTCCCAATGGTTTCCAGGTACTTTCCACATACTCGCACACAAAATAACAAATAACACAAGAAAAGGAACTCAAGTTACCTGTTACTGTTTTACTCAAATAAGCTTTCTCATTTTGAAGGTCTTTCTAAGATGGCTGCTGTGGAGACAAGAATATACATATGCGATATCAAACAAAGTTATTAAAGCTAATACAGTGGTGATACACGAATTGTACACTTGTACATATTAAAACAACAAGAAACCGCACCACACCAGTTTAGACAGAAGTCGTCCTTTGACTATGCCTCACTTTGGTCTCACTGAAATCAATAGTGTTATCCTCACTAAAAAAAACACAAATACTTCAATGAGTTACTGTAGTTCTGAACGTATTACACTGGTGTTTTCACTGCCAAGACTCATCAAAAAAGAACAACCAGAAAATGTTTGCAAAACAGATTGTTATTATAAAATGCATTAACAGAGCATGCCCCAGCTATTAATAATAGAATATACATCAATGTACTGCTTTTCAGATAATCAATATTAATTGGCAATCTAATTCGAACTGTTAAGACAGGTGACCTTGGAGCTGCAATTCATCAGGTGTATGGTAACAGAGGGTGCAAAATAGGCCTGAAAACAATTACTTCCTTGTCCTTTCCTTCCAAAATGACACAATGCCATTTCAGTGATCAAAGTAATTTTCATCTCATAAACGTACCTCTGAAAATAGATTAGATCTTACAGAACGATTTTATATTCATGATCCAACTCAGGAGACAGACCTTATATGATACTTGACTTGTAGTTCACAAGGGCCTCAGGTTCTTGGAAGAAAATAGGATAAAGACACAGGTAAACACGGGAGAAGGAAAGTGTGCTGGGTGAGAGGTCTGGCACCCGTCAACATCAGAGCAACCTTGCCAAGTCTCATAATTTCCTCATTAGGCTTCAGGCATATTAAAAGAGCTCTTACTCCTTTTTTTTTTTTTTTTTAATTAAATTCAAGCCTGTCACATAATCAATAGGATTTTAGCCAAAAGCTGGCCACTACAAGACAGTCACCATGACTATTCTTTGTTGGATTAAAGTAAGATTACTCCCTGCAAAGACAGAATCATCTTCCATTGCTTTACATGAGGCTAAAAGATAGAAATCCTTTTTATCATAACGGCAGCAAGAAACAGGCAAATGTTTCAGAAGCCTGATTCCAGAAAAATAAACTGTGGGAACGGGTCAAGAAATGGCCAAGACAACTGTAGACAACCAGCATAATTCACGGAGCATAAGATCCAAACAGGATCTGAGGCCTGAGGGCAAGTTTGGGGCAGGCTCCAGACTCAGTCCAGAAGGATGAAAACCCAGATGTGAAAGGGACAGGGGAATGTAAAAATGAAGAAGGTGGTGGTGGTGGGGGGGGGAGTACTACCAAGGGGAAGGTGGAAGAAGTAGGTACTCTCAACAGCTAGGGCCTTGAAAGTACGAATCGGAGAGCGGTTTCTTCCTGCTCCACAAGAGGACAGGGAGCAAGACAGAGGCATTTCCCACCACCACACCACTGTGGAAAGAAAAAGCAGAGTCCCCTCTGAAGGCCGAGAAAAGAGAACGTGTGCACAAGATACATATTCATAGCTCAGGATTAATTTCAACCCTGAAATGATCTCACACAAAACAAGGATAGCATCTTTTCTTCTGAAGGTGAAAGACAGGAGCCAGTGAAAAAACGTTACTTCTTTCTCTCAGAATCTCCTTTTATATCCAGTCTTGTGATTTCTAGGGATCTGACTCATGATTTGTACGTGCCTGGGGCTGGCAATAAAGCCATAGCTAGAGAAGGTGTCAAGGCTTTAAGCAGCAGAATTTGCTTAAGATGCAGAGCTCCTAGGTGGTTGTTTTATGAAGTAAGGAGAGAACGAGCTCACCCTGTGAGAGACTGTAAAATAGAAACTAGCTGCTGTACTACAAAAAACTGTCCACGTTAAAGCACACAGGTTTATGGATATCCCCTTCACAATAAAGCAGAACAATACTTAAACAAAATGAAACTATTTAGACAGACAAATCAAATAATCATGAGGACTAGTGTCTTCGGAAAAACATTAGCAGCTGAGCAAATACCAAGGTCCTACTCCATGTGCATGCCAACAAGCATCCAGTATCGCGTTTATTTCAGATAAAAAAAATTCTTTGCAATTGACAGAATCCACTGTACCAAACTAGTCCGAGCACAAGCAACTTCGGTTTACCCCAGATTAGCCATGCTGATTTTAAATGAGAGCATATAACACATCAACTCCGCATCAACAGCAACACCACCGTGGATACTACGCAGCCTTCTGATACAGCAAAAGAAAGCGCACCAGCGCGTGATGGGCCCGTAGCTGAAGCACTTGAGCTGATCTGTGTGCAGAGTGGCACTAACGCAGCCCAGGCTGAGCACATGCTTAGAACTTCTGAAAGTAATTTTAATTAAGAGTTCTTGGAACATACGGGGACTGGTTCGAACACGTGCAAGTGAACAAGGTCGTTTACATAATGAGTGAGGTATGCATGTGAGGTGCTTTATATAATAGCACTTTAGATTACAAGACCTCTCACCTGAAGAGCTGTATTTTAATAACTATATACATATAGGGCCATCTTTGGTAGTCAGTAAACCATTAAATAAAATATTCGTAACAGATTTCAGCGACGGAGTGAAAGAGGGGAGTTTGAATGGACAAAGGGGAAAAACGCCTGCCACTTGCAAAAAATTAAGAAGCAAGCAGGTCTTTAAATCTTGTATAGGCCATACAGCGCTGAGTGGCATGTAAGTTTTCAGCTCTTGCTTGGATAGCAAGAGCAAGTTACCCTCCAAAGGGTAACCTGATTCAGCAAACTAAACTGAGATGAAAAACAATCTCAAAACTGTCTACAAGACTGTATCCAAAGAAAGAAGGCATTTGGTCTTGATCCTCATACAATTACATAATGCATTTCACTATTCCTACTACATATTCCAGCCAACAACCAAAAAGAACAATAGGAAGTTCTGAGGCCTGTAAATGCCACAGTGCAGGTAGACAAGAGACAAAATGAAATAAGTAAATGACAGAGCTGGAAAGCAACAGAGCGGGTTGTAGGTTGCAAGACAGTGATAGTCGTCTTAATACCTATATCATACTACTACTACGTTCAACTGTTTGTTGTTTTAATATGGTTACTCCAACACTCACAATTTTAAAGAAACCTACTCTCAGCCAGTGGAAGTGTCTGAATTGGAAAATGAAAGAGAAATTAAGTACCTATCTGAACATTGCCTTTTTAAAACACTACTATTAAAAATCAGCAAACTTCAGACCTCTTTCTGCATATTAATGACAGCAAATACAGGTTTCAAATTCAAACCTAGAGTTCTTCTACTCATATACATTCTGTCCTAATAAAAACAGTCGAAATTTGAAAAAAATGCAACAGGAAAAATCAAGTTTTAGACCAGAGAAGCTAAAGCAGCTTAAAGACCTTTTTACTTTTCAAGTGTCCTGGGGAAAAAAAAAAATCCTAAAACAAAACAAAACAAAACAAACTTTTACCTCAGCTGTTACTTTAATAAAGCTCTGTGATACTGAGATAAGTCTATCTGGCTAACTTGCTGGCTCAAAAGACCTGTATTTGTGTCTTCTAGACTTTGCATATCAGTCCACCAGCAGAGAGGATCAGGACGGAAGCTGTGTAGAGCAGAGATGATACCTGTCTGTTCTGAGGATCAGAGACAGACAGATGTAACATACAAATACACATTTCAGTTATTTGCAGGGTTTCTGTCAGACAGGTGAAGAAATAGTTGCCTTCAACTAGAAGAAGAAATCAAATGAGACTGTGTTTTGTGTAAGAATATTTTTATCTTACCCCCTCTCTTACCTTATCAGATGCATCTCCTCACTCTATTCAAAATCCAACAAGTCATAAAAATCCATCTGTAATAAAAGGAAAACTCCATTAATACCACCTGATAAGCTTACAACAAAAAACTAATTATAACTTCAAGAAAGAAGTTAAATTTCTACTCCGAATTCATTATAATCTATACCCCAGGTGAGTCATCCCCTTGTCTGCAGTCATCTGGGAAACCTGGATATAAAGGTATTAAAGAGGTTGCAACGTGTAAGAAATATTCTCTTCCTCCTTTGCAAAGGATAACATGGTCAAAGTTGCACTTTGGACAAAGTCTACAGGTTGACCGACTGAGTCATAAGTAAGTCTGCAGCATCCCCTCATTAAATTGAATGAACGCCAAATTATATAATGAGAATGGTTGCAAGATGAGACCAATGGTAATAGCTAGACGTAATCATACCAGTGCTATACATCGTGCAGACAATTTTACGTCAGCATATCCAACCTGGGTATGCAGCACCTTTTATCTCTAGGCCAAGAAACTGCCAGCAAATAGTCTTTTTTAAATATGGTAAACCATGCAAGAAATGGATGAAACAAAGCTTTCATGGACAAGTTTAAATGATGCCTACCCTGATCAAGTACATTTAATTTCCCAACACCTTTGCAAACCAACCTTTGAATGTAACAAAGATGTTTTTGCTGTACAAGTAAATGTAACACAGTTTAACATACCTAGAAGGACAGGAAAAAGTCCTATGCATCTAACAAAACTGCAACCTTGAAACTGTTAACAACAAATAAAAAATCATGATAAACTTGGGCTTGAAAGAACACCCTTTTCCATGACACTATTAAGAAAAGGAGACACGATCTGCAATCTAACCAGTCAGTAAGTCAGTAGGGCAGAAGAACAACCTCCAGTTAGACACGCTGAAAAGCCTAAATGTCTGCCTAGAGCGAGAAATGTGAATCAAGGATCTTTAAAAAAAGAAACAAGAATATCCCCCTCCACACAACCTTTTATATCAAGGAGTTCAGTGTTCTGCCCACAGAAGCCACTGTCAGACTGAAAAGGACCAGAAATTCTTAAGCAAAGTGAGACACTATATGAGACCATATTAGGGTTTTTTGTTTTTTTTTTTAAACTTCATTCTTCAGTTCAGTTATCTGTGGGGGATATGGCAGGAATGGAAGGATTTAAAGCAAATTATTTTCATGTTTGTTTATTTTTCTTGTAATGACATTACAAAGAGTGCTCCTGTGCACAGAGTACAAAACTAGACGCAAAGAAAAACACTGGGGTTTAGACCTGGCTCTGACATCTCTGATTTGTACTCTTGCTTCATTTTTCCTCACGCACAGAGCACCCACAGCTCCAATGGACCCTGAAGGGAACTGCAGGTGCTCAGCACCCCTGAAAGGCCAGATCCTTCACCAATCTGTGCTGCAGTTCCTCCATCAGCAAAATGGAAACAGTGGTATGCATTTACCTATCCAGGAAAGCTGTGGAGAGAATTGAGTTCTAAAAACCGTTCTGTAGAGTGCTTTTTAGTATGCATTAGTGTACATTTTAAGTGCTAAAAATAAAACTTTCATATAGCTAATATCATTTCCTCATCTTCCACTGACACAATTTACTCACTCTTGTTACTTCCTCTTTTTAGTTGCAGTTTGCTTCATTCAGGAACGCCTTCATTTGTAAGCACATGGATCATTTCTTTTCTGGCATTACCAGAAAGGCTATAATAACATTATTCCATTCTGGTCTTCTATATGAAGAAGAAATCTTCTGTCCATGCGACAGAAAAGATTTGAGAAAGAGAGCCACTGAATGGAAGCCCTGACCAAGAAACCACTTGAGTACTCCTACATACACTCCTATTCCCCTGCCAACCCAGTAAAATTCCTCAGAGCACAACCTCTTCCTGGCTGTTTTCAGAGAAACTGCAGCAATCATACAAGAACAATGGGGAAGTTTGTTTTACTCAAAGAGTAAATGTTTTGCAGCTTCCAATGTAAATATTTTTAATTAATGGATTTTTTTTTTTTAACTCTCTGCTGCCCTACTAGCATTCACATTCATATAGTGCCGTCAAAACAGAAATCAGCACTTGACTTCTATAGCAGGCGAAAAAGAGAGAAGTACAACAGAAAAAGAAGATACGTTAACTTCAGAAAAAGCATGTTCATAAATAAATCAAAACTGAGTGCACATTAGCTGGGTGGGATCCGGGAGGAGAAGAATTACAGACAAACAAGTCCACTCATTTCCTGTGTCAGGCTAAGGGCTCATGTTAGCTCCTATCAGAATAGTGGACCTATTTTAATAGCCAACTTGCAGAAAACCACAACCTAAACTGTTTCCAAAACAACGTTAAGTCCAATGACCAGGCCACAAGAGAAGAATGTTGCGACTATCTTTTTGCCTCAGTCATCAATACAGCGGCTCCTAACCACCCCAGCACTCTGTGCCCATTTCACAGAAACACTTACATCTCTTCTTAAGGATTCATAAATTAAGTGCTGTAGATTGTGTCAGCAGTGAAGGGACTCAAATTTACCATCTCTGGGCAGGACTGCGTTTGTGTTGCAGAAGCTGGCAGAACAGGGATGCCAAACTGTACCACACCTGCTCCTCCAATGGTTTCAGTGTGGATCAGCAGTACCCTGGGCGGGGGCAGGCCTTCTACTCTGAATGGGGTCTCTTATCAGACAACTTATGTCTCTCCTCTGCCCCTAGATAAGGGCATACAGTTTGGATGTGGTGCCGTTAGCAGATATTGGCATTCAAGTTTAAAAAAAAAAAAGAAAAAAACCCACCAACCAGCAACAACAAAAAAAGAAGCGGGATACAGATGGTGCTGTCCCTGCTTTCCCAAAGCCTGACCGGAACGTGAACATAGATGTGACTGAGCCAGAAAGTTCAACCACCATAGTATACTGCTGCGCAGCTAGAGAAACTATTGCATGGACCATCTTGGACTGAAAGAGTCCCATATGTGGTAATGTTTCCCTTTCCCTGCTTTTGTCTGAGTGGGAGGTTTTCTTCCTCTTGTACCAGCCTTGCCACATTTGACTCTTATTAGCAACATTCTTCCAAAAATTTAACAAACAATTCCATAAAAATTCCCTGCCATCATCAGCAATACTCATGTGACCCCCTGGGTAAAACCGTGTCACGTTCCTCCAAAAATACAGCTTTTGCTGTGTATTTCTACCACCTCATACATGAAGTTAGTGGCATACTCATAAAACTCGCTGCACTCTGCGGTTCTCACAACTGTCCACATCAGAACGCAGCAGCTCGTCCACCTCTACCTCACCACAGCCCTCGCTCTTCAGATCCCGTGGCGTTTCCCTACCTTTGCTAACGCAGAAAGGAGTAACGATAGGAAGAGGCCTACTGTCCTCTCAACAGCAGGGCCTACTCACCACACGAGAGTGAGCGCTCCTGACCGAGAGGACAAATCTTCCAGATTCCTAGATTAGGAAACGCTAACTATTAACCACTTCTGATCAGGACTTGAGAAAGCGGGGAGAAAGAAAGAATGCCTGGCTGTTATTTGAGAGAGAGACTCTGATTTGGTAGCAGCAGCAGAGCCTGGGGACAACAAGCCTATCAGTGTTTCTGCGTAAGCAATTTTAGTATCAGTAAAGCTGGTGCTTCTGCGGAAGGAAGCAGATATTAGCAGATACATCCCTCCCTTACGGTGTGCATGCACCTTAGTACCTGTCTCCTGTTGAGAATAAGAAGATTAAAAGGATATTGAAGGGCAATGCTGGATGAAAGCCCCTCCTTGCAGCAATGCTATTTGGAAGCATGTGTCTGCAAGACCTTTCCTGTCCTCACCAGCCCCACAAAATGAAACTAAAATCTCTTGGTCTTGAAATCAAGTGTTATCAATCACTACTACGACTGGAGTAAAAACATTTAAGATCTCAACTTTCGTTTCCATGCCAGTGAGGACTTAAAAATAAATACATACATACATACATACTATTGCTGAAATATAGTCATCCTATATATGCAGCATTAAATCAAAGCTGGAATCAAAGAAGTAAATATCTCTGCTTAAAACACAGCTCTCACAGAATAATCATACACCACTTTTCATCAGAGACCTACGAAGAGACTTTGCATTAAGCCATCAACACGCACAAACTCTGGAAAAGGAGATCTGTCAGCAAGTACCCCTACCCTTAGAGTGACCTAGGAGATATCCTTTTCCAGCCACAGCAAGACTTGTGTCAGTCCTTCCATTTTCCTCTCTGACCTCTTCTGGGGAGCCACCATGCTCAGCTTTTTCATGTGCCTATTTAATCAGCAATGTGAAACTCGCACAACCTTATCAATTTCTCTGCGGTCTGCTCATCAAGGTAATAAGTAGAAAGACTCCCTGAAGGAGCAGCACATTCGTAATTCCCCTATGCCCACGGGATGGAAAAGAGAGTGAGAAAAGAACAGATGAATGTTAATCTCTCCTCCTTGCCTCCAGCAGCAGTTTGTACTCTCCCACGCAGAGAAAAGGGAGGCTATACAATTTGTGGAGGCCAAAGTGTCTGGAAAAAAGTAGACTGAGAACTGACAGCAAGTTCCCTTCTATTTCAATTCTCTTGCTGTAAGGAAAGTGCAAGGGGAGTCATTGACTTGCTGGTGGAAGATTAGACTACAGCATCTTTAAGAGGCTGCTTTTATGCAAGCAGCAAAGCTGGACTATTCAGGATTGTAACTGTTTAACATATTTGCTACATAAAATATTCCGCTCACATATTACAAGCGCTACTTGCACTGTATGACTTTTCTTATGGAGATGTTTATTATTATTATTATTATTATTGACAGATTAAATTTGTTGCCTGAGCACAGAAATCCACGTAACATCCAAAAAGGACTCAAGATCACTCCATTCCAGGTGTTAATTCAAAGATGACGGACTCTTTTCTGTAACCTGCCTGACTCCAAACAGCTAAGTTCTAAACTCAAGTAGGTAGCCAATAACGCCTGAAACAGTGCGCTTGGGGCAGTGGCTACCACACGTTTCTTTAACTCATCTGTGTCTAAAAAGTGTCTTTCAGC